TTTAAAAATTTAAAACCACTCAATACAGGGGGCTCAGCAGCAGAAGTGACAGCCACTGGGGAGAAAAGTGGCCCAGAGGTCCAAGTGAGAGTTTTCCAATCAGGTTGACACCAAGTGAGCAGCAACAACGCACAGAGACCTGAGTGCAGGTATACAGGGGAGAAAGGACCATCTATCTTCAGGAATTACACAAAGGCATATTTGGCTGGCTTTCTAGAGCTCACTTGTGGGAAATATTAGGGGCTGCTTGCAAGTTATACTGGAGTCATATTCCACAGGGCTGAGAAAGCCAAACTAAGTTATTTAGACAGGAGTCTTGGCCATGGGGTGCAAAAGCCTGGGCAAGTTTGCAAAATGATCTAATGGGCTATAAGAAGTACATGTTAAGATCTTTACTGTATTTTTTAATCCAAAATTACATGTTCCTACTATTTAATAAATGGATTGATGTTAATATTCTTTTACTTCTTATGTGAGTTGGAGTTCCGTGAGGAATCCTGAGAGAAAACTGGAAGTTACACTCTAAGTAGAAGTTATAGTGAGGGAGTCATTTTATTCGTCCACCTTTATACTGAGGTTTCTTATTCAGTTAGGCAGCTCTCTGGCTTTTATTACCTACTAGCAATTACACCACTTTTCCTGTAACAGGTAAGTGGTAGACAAAAGATTCTTGCAAAACAAAAATCATGTCATAAAGATAATAATGTAAGAAATACACAAACACATTACTAAAGAAGCTGACACTCATCATATCATTCCAAGCTTTTCATCAGCAACATTACAAGATAAAGGCAATGATGACCAAATTAAACCAGATCTGACAGTTTGCCAAAAACATCTGCCATTACCAGGAAACCTATTTGACGTCTGTATTGATGTCCAGTATTGCTAAGAGCAAACCTTGCCTACACACAACATGCTTTAGCACCATAGCAAGCAATATTATGACACCGTCACAAACTTCTAAAAATTTCTGCAAATAAATATTCCAGTACTTTACCAACTTTCAATAAAGTGAATAATAAACACTTAGAACCTTCTTTTGATTTTTCTTATTTAATAATAAAAGACAAAAGAAGTCACACATCATTTGGAGAAACTTGATTTAACCACCATGGAAAAATGGATGAACTCATATGCACAAAATGATAGTGTGACAAATCAAACTCTGTTTCTTTGTCAGCAAATATTATTGGAAAGAATAAATAAATAACTGGAAGGTTTGGGAGAAATTATAACAAAGTGAGTAGCAAAAGTTTTGGTAATAACAGAATCAAAGTGTAGATATTTCTAATATGTTCAGTTTATAATACTCACTATTTCTGTTTCAGTAATACTTAAAGTAAGTACTACCTTAAGCCACGAAGGAAAAATGTACCAATGAATGAAGTAAGCCTCAATATTAAATTTGTTTAAGGTCTACATATTTTTTTAATGAAAAAACTGTAATTAGCTACTGAAGAGTTGGCTTTTTTGATTGGAATTATTCTTTTAAAAAGGGTAAGATTACAGAGATGGCAGTACCTGTGAACTCCATTTACTACATCTGTGACAAGTAGATCAGAATTGGACAGAGTGACTCAGGATTTTACAGATGTGGTGTATGTTGTATAGAGATGAGACCTTTATATTTTGAAAAATATCCTTAATATTTTGTATTGAGATAGAGAATAACTATAAATTTATTTTAACTATAGAGATTTACTGATTATGTAATGGGAAATTAATTTAAAACATTGTAGAATCTGAAGATTTAATTCTTTTTTGACAGAAGTCAAAGAATGCCAAATTTGTTCAATCTTGGTGATGACAAGTGGTTATTGGTAATATATCACTTACTAGATCGTATAAAGTAAATGGGATGATGGGGGGAGAAAAGGTAGATGGGAGGAAGTAAACCCTGGTTATCAGCAATATGCAACTTATTAAGTATTTAGTAAAAAATAAACATAAAAATATAAAAATAAAAAAACTCAAACATAAAATAAAAATAAATTCTCTTTAAGAGAATTATCATGTGAAAACAGTCCTCTGAAACAGAAGTTTGGAAATCATGTGATTATGCTATATAAAATGACACATGTCATCTTTAAAAGCTGTCATATCTACTCCTTTAACAAATTTTAAAGAGAATATTTTAATCTGTTTCTAAGCCTTCCAGATGAACTCCAGCGGGCTTTAAAGCAATTTGTTCATATATATATATAGATATAGATATAGATATGTGTGTGTGTATATATATATATTTAATTCCCTCATTTTCTGACAGATAGCAAGAACAAATTGTTGGTATCAGGGAAGATTAACATTTGTTTGCAGAATTTTCACTATTAAAAAATACATTTTCAATTTCAAACTAGAACAGGTAGCAAGATTTGGCAAGTACAAACTCTGATCCAGTCCTTCTAATTCTGATATATCCTTGTGGGTTATCTTTCTTGTTATGGATGGTCATTAAAGTTAAACATCAAAATACCAAAATAAGCTTAACTTAGAAGCTGAAATTCAAATAACGCTATCACAAAATTTCCGACCAAGATTTTCAAAAATATTGAAGCACAATCAATGCTCTAAAATACTATTATTAATCATATTTTAATGTGATCAAATGTATCTATATTAAATAAAATAACAATAATTTTAGTTTATTTCACTGATTTATTTTGTTTTTGTGAATGTTTTATATTGTTAATAATATACCAGTAAATCAGTGTATACATTTAATTCAGAAATAAGTATATACATACCGAGGTTGTAAAATAAAAGAAAAAGTAGTGATAAAAAGCCATGATAAAAAGAAAGTGATAAAGGTGTAAAATAAAATTAAAAGTACATTGACAAAATACTCAGATATTTCTTGTTTAGATTCTTTAACAAGCAATGGAGAATCATTATCAGTATCTGAGTGATAGAGTTAAATTATGTGAACTTTGGAAAATAATTCTCTTAACTCTAGGAAACAAATTGAGGGTCGCTGGAGGGCGGGGGTGGGGGGATGGGGTAATTGGGGAATGGGCATTAAGGAAGGCACGTGATGATGGGATGAACACTGGGTGTTATACACAACTGATGAATTACTGAACACTACATATGAAACTAATGATGTACTATATGTTGGCTAATCAAATTTAAATAAATAAATAAATAAGGAATATTCCTTTGTAATAAAAATGTTATTTTTATTAAAAATTGAAAAAAATAAAATGAATATTTGTCTTCTGTTGATTGAGGTCACTGTAACACAATAAAACTGACACACATAAGTAAGCAAAAAAAAAAAAAAAGAAAGATCAGACAACCATATGTATGGACGAAGGGAGAAAGAGCAGGGAGCAGGCGCAGTGATGTTGTTAGATTGCCCAAATCATTAGTGAAAAGTCATGAAGGCCATCATTAGGAGGGCCCTCAGGAATAGGAGTCAACAGACAGGAATGTGAGAAATTGGATGCAGAGAGTAAAGGGTGGCTGGTAAGAAGAAACCAGAGATTACTCAGAAGGGTAGTGACTGGGAGACTAGAGACAGATGAATGGTATTGCCATTACCAGAGACAAGAGTGAGAGGCAGAAACTGCTTCTGTAGAGGAGATAAGATTCCAACAACTGAGTTCCAGTTTACAGCGAGGCTTTGAAGCGGAACTTGTACTGGGTATCTGAAAACACGTATCTGATACTCAAAAGAGGGCCAGAAGGTGCACAGGTAGATTGAAGAATTGCTCACGTGGCTCCCCTCAGAACAAAGAAGACAAAACTCAAACCAAAACCAAAACCAAAGCAAAACACAAAGAAAACCTCATCACATAGAGATTAGGAAAGAAGGCCATACACGGAGTCAAAGTAGAACTCATAAAGCATGATCAGAAAGACAAAAAGAGAACAAAAAGGGAGGGTCATGAAAGCCAAGGGCAGCTTCACAAACAGAGAAATGGTCATAGGCATCAGGTTCTGCAAAGTGGTTAGCTAGGAGAAGCAATTGGTGGTGGTGATGTTACCAGATCAAGCCATTAGAATGAAGAATACATAGGCACCTGCTCTGACTCTGATATACTCATTTACATAATGAAGGAAGACCAGGATTTACTTAATGACTGATGCACCATGTATCAAAGATGGGTTAGTAACCACGTGTTAAAACTGTAAACACCAAAAAAATGGACTACAGATTCTAATTAGAGTTCTAACATTAACTTTTAATATTAATAAATCATTTCTTTTTCCTTCAAGTCATTGCTGTTATCTGTGAATTAAAATTATTCAACCAGATATGAAGTAAGATCTTGTGTAGCTCTAAAACAATCAGAGTTCTTCTAAAAATGACATTATTTCTTGTGCAGATAGAGGTTAAGATGGATACTCTTAAAAGTTGCCACTAAAGAAACAGAATATATATTATTCCAAATTATGCTTGGATTATAAATAATCCTTCAATATTAAACATATTAAACAAACCCCAAATAGAGTGCATTATATTAAAATCATGTTAAATACTAAAATTAACTTTTATAAAAATGACTTTTGTACTGAATTTCAGCCACACTTTTTTTTTGGGCAATCACAATCATTTTATGGCTGATGGCACCTTAAAAGGCTTTCAAGCGAAAAGAAACTTGTTGACTTGCTTAACCGAGTGACTAAGTGAACAGAAACTTACATAAAGACACATATTATTTTATATTAAAGGTGGATGCTGATTTTATGTTCACAGTGGAGAGAAGAAGAAACTTAACCTGTAAGAAACTCTTCTTATCATCCTACAGAATTTTGGTAAATTATCAAATATGCATAAAAGCTAGGAAAATAAATTTGGTATCTCTGCTTTAAGTTAGATCAAGCTGTGAGAAAGCCAAAGTTGTTCATTTCAGCAATTGTTACACTTTTCTGAAAGTGCCTTTAATTGAAGGTTTGCACTTACATAATTACCACTAAGCACTCTGTGTACTTAGGTAAAAATTAGCAAATTTCATATACATAAGACTATGCAAAGACAGGAAAACATAACTTACTGTTTTTTCTCTCCCAGGTTCAGGCTTTGCTGTGCGTGCCATTTGTTGCTGTCCTTTCATCTTTTGAGTCGCCTCATCATCTTCCTTGGGCAAACTTGGAGGTAGGCCAGAGGGTGCAGCCTCCATCTTGGTCTGTGGCGGTTTCTCCTGTACCACCTGAGGAGCCACTCTGCCTTCCGGCTCTTCTTCAGTGGTTGGTACTTGAGTTTTAAGTAAGTCTTGTTTCTGTTCCGCCTCTAGAGCTGATGGTTCTGTTGCTGGAGGTAACTTTTTGTCTTCAGGGGCTGGCTTTTTGTCTTCAGAAGTTGGTTTTTTTTCTTCAAGAGGTGGCATTTTTTCTTCTGGGAGTGGCTTTTTGTCTTCAGGGGGTGGCTTTTTTTCTTGAGGGGCTGAAGTTTTGTCTTCCTCTAGTTGACTCTCCCGTTTGTGATCTGTGGTCACCTTTGGGACAGTCTTTTCAACTGATGGTATTTCTTTCACTTTTTCTGGAATGACTTGCTCAGCTTCTGTTTTTACTTCTTGTTCCTTCTTCTTCATTTTTACTTGGGTAGGCATTGCTGTTTTCTGGGATGGTTGTTCTGGAGGGACAGGTATAGGAGAGGCTTTGGGTCCTGAAGGTGTAGGTGGCATTTTGCCCATATCTCCAAGCTGTCCTGATATTGCTCTCTGGGTTTGGCAATTTAAACAAAGCCATTCTTGAATCTGCAAAGAAAATAGCAATGAGCAGATTAACTATATTATAATGCATCTGTTTTGGTGAATCTGTTTTGGTGCATATACTAAGATTAACATCTGGTGACTTCTAGTTGCTTTTTTGTATAGGGAGAAGATAGGTCATTGTTTTCCAAATCAATGAAATAGCGACTTCTAAGGAAGACTGCAAAAAGACTATTTATAATCTAAAAATGTGAGGAATCCCTAGAGATTGGCAATTCACTCTCCTCACCATGAGGAAGAAAAAAAATGTAGCATTAAAGATGGAGCCAAGGATCAGTCATTAAGTGTCTGCCTTTAGCTCAGGTCATGATCCCAGGGTCCTGGGATCGAGCCCCACATCAGGCTCCCTACATTATAATGTAAGAACTAAAGACTATACATGTAGCTTCTAATTGTTACATTTAATAAATACCTATTCCGTAAAGTCCAAGGTTGGAGAGTCATACAAAGAGTATTGCATTCATATGTTGCACTGTTTTCTGAGTTCAATTTCAAACTGCTTTTCATACTGGATCACTCTTTCTAGTTACATGACAAAATCACCTATTGTTCAAGAATATCATTAGGGATCTAAGTTTCATTTCTTATTTCAGCTTCTAATTTCTTTAGAGATATAAAAAATGTTGCTTAATAATAATGACTGAGGAGCGCCTGGGTGGCTCAGTCAATTAAGGGTCTGCCTTCCGCTCAGGTCATGATCCTAGAGTCCTGGGATTGAGCCCCACATTGGGCTCCCTGCTAAGCGGGGAGTCTACTCATCCCTCTCTCTCTGCCCCTCCCCCCCAACTCGTGCTCTTTCTCTCGTTCTCTCTCAAATAAATAAAATCTTTAAAAAAATAGTAATGACTGTTTTGCAATCTGTAAGCCATTATAAATTCTTATTTACTTATCTGAAGAGTAAAAACAAAAGTCCATTATTTAATTTTTGTCAATTGCTGTCTATAAAACATCAGTATGCGTTACGGGTTCATTTGCTTTTTGTGTGTACAATTATCTAATACCAATTCTCTTCTTAATTCAGGTTTTGGCAACTCTAAAGTATTGAATGGCGGCTTCTTTACACCAGAACTTTATAGAAAAGTCTTAGGAAAGAAACTGACTTGATCCCTTACGTCAAATATGAAAAGCTTGCTCCAACCCTGGCACTGAATTGTCCCTGGGGGAGGCACTTCCACAAGAAAATCAATTTTCCAAGAAAATCAATCTTTATCTGTGCTGTGGTTTTAAAAACCATTACTCAGTTGAGCCACATCTGAGGATATTTTTATTCAGAACCTGACATTTTTTAAAAACAAAAGCAGACACAAATAGTTGCATCACTGCTGTCTTGTCACATGGATTGTAAAAACCAAATGCAGGTGTGTGTTAAGCCACTTGTTGCTTAACAGGTCATGTCCTAATGTAAAGAAGTTAGGAAGTTTTTCATATACCAGGAACACAGGTATCATTACATTGCAAATTTTTATCAAAATAATAGTGTGATTCTTTTATCTGAGTTTTTGGAACAAATTATTCTTGAAAAGTTATCATCTCTTACTACTTATAGCATATGATACCACAATGGTACACAGCTCTCATTAAAATGAAAATGTGTTCAGAAAATAAAGTGACCATTTCAAAGTAATATACTCATTATTTTCACATATTTGAAGGTTAAGGGGATAAATGGTATCATCTGTTTAACTTATAGTGTCACATAAAACACTTCATTTTCCCAATTTAAAGTAATGTTTGATAAACCTATAAGCAGTGAGAACCCACACTAGTATGGTCTGCAAGGCAGAGGGAAGGCAATAATGTCAGTCTAAAAGAAAATGGATTTTATCCTGAGAGCCTCGCTGTCTAGATCAAACTTGTGTTTGCTTAAGTTTCCATCCGTATGCAGTTAAACCTGATATTTTTATACTTGGTCTCGCAGTTGCCTGAGTGATTTGCATTTGAAATAAGATTATTAAGACAAGCCTAATTCTTTTGACTTTACACTTTGACTAACTGTCACCAAAATTCACTTGGAAACTGATGTTACTATCATGTCAAATAATTATGACAACGTAATTCACTTATGTATCTACTCTGTATATATTTATTCTATCTATATTTATGGAGTACATATACCATTGGGTAAGGAATAAGATATGGGTTAAAATATGCAGTAAAAAAAATATATACATATAAGGGAAATGGAAAGGATATAATGTTTTTTTTTTTAAGATTTTATTCATTTATTTGACAGAGAGAGACACAGCGAGAGAGGGAACACAAGCAGGGGGAGTGGGAGAGGGAGAAGCAGGCCTCCTGCCGAGCAGGGAGCCCGATGGGGAGCCTCGATCCGAGGACCCTGAGATCATGATCTGAGCCGAAGGCAGACGCTTAACAACTGAGCCACCCAGGCGCCCCAAGGATATAATGGTTTTAGTGGACTGTCTGATGAATCTGTTTAGAACATAAGGAATTAGATAATTTATGAATCCCAAAAGAGAATTTTTTCACCAATTAGAAATGCTGAATTGGAAGTCTCATACATGTGTCTCTTCTTTCTGTAGCCCTAGAACCAAAATTAGAATGCCAACAAATTCGGCAAGCAGAAGAAGTTATAATATAAAGAAGGAATTAAAAAAGGGGAAAAAGTACAGTAACACCAAAATTTGTATATTTCTTTAAATATGCAAATATAAATTTTATTAAGAGAGGGCATACGAAAAGGCAGAGGCCAGGGTAAAATCAAAAGTAGAAATGAGAAAAGCAAAATTGATTGAATTTTAATAATGAGTAAAATGAGTGAAAATGAATTTTCAAATGAAAGTTTATTTTGGATAATATAGGTTATCGTCATTATCATATCACCATTAAATACAAACACAATTACTAGAAAAATTGGCTTCACAAGTCACAATTTAGGAAATACTCTACAACACATAAGATGTAAAAATCTGTAGTTCACAATTTTTTTCTTTGCATTCTTTACCAAAAATAATCCCAAGAAATTTTGTATTCCTGTATTCAGGGATTTAATTAAGAAGCATTATATTTCTAGGTCCAAAAAAACCATTATCTTCACTCTTTGTTCTTCAACAGCCACACCATTAAATACTCATAATGTTTCTAGTCCAGTAACAATCTGGAGATACAATAAGCAAGATGCCTAAATTATACAAAAATTCAATGCATAAATTATCACTGCCCATATATGATCTTTACCACCTGAAAGGACTTTACCACACATAGCATTAACTCTTTCTGTAAATTGCAAAACACATGACTATTCATAGTTTGCCTTAAGGTTAAACATCAAAAGAGTTACAGCTTTATCTTTGAAAATAAAAACAGTGAGACAGGGGTGCCTGGGTGGCTCAATCGGTTGAGTGTTCGGCTCCTGCTTTAGGCTCAGGTCACGATCCCATGGTTTGTGAGATCAAGCCCGAGGGCCACTTCCGCACTCAGCGGGGAGTCTGCTTGAATATTCTCTCCCTCTGTCCCTCTCCCCAACTTGTTCCCTCTCTCTCTCACTCTCTCTAAAATAAAGAAATCTTGAAAAAGGACAGTAAGACAATTAGAAAATAAATATATTTTATATATATTATTATGTAATATATACTTATATAAACTAAAGCCATTGCTGTTATATTATTGAGTTGACTACATAGAAAATACATTGAAAAATACAGATGCTTATGGAGGTTTTTTTTTTAACATAAAAGTCATCATTATGGATGCTTTCAGACCATTTCCACTGGTTTCAGTAGGTTCTTAAATTATGTTTTATTTTCAGAGCCTATAAATATCTCCTAATAGTAGAAAACATAAAAGTTTTATCTATATTATTATTAAATGTATCAAATAAATTCAGAAGACTCTATTAGACCAATCACCTTTTAATCTAGGGCTTTAACATTAATAACCAGGATACCAAATTCATCTCCAAGTAGGGGAACATTCTGATAAACAGTGTATAAAAAATAACTCCATGTCGATCACAACATACTAGAATGTATTCAATTGTCAGCTGGTGCATGTTAACAGAATGCATTTATTTTAACATCATATCATCAGGGCTTGTTCAAAGCAATGCTTCACAAATCCATTAATCTTAAGAGCAAAGTAGGAAATGAAGGCAATAAAAACCCAGAAGAGGGATGTTGCTGTGCTACTTGGCATTTTTCCATCAATAAGCAATTTGCTTTATATAACATTTTAGCTGTAACTATAGCAACAATACCATTAAGGAAAATCTCTGAATTTCAGGCCTGCCTATTTATTTTTCTAAGTATCATTCGGAAGCATGATAATAAGACCTGCCTCAGGTTGAAAGTTGGCCATTAGACCTAAAATGGTAGAGAACGGATGGCTGTGAAGCCTGCGGGAGCATTCATAGCTGTATCTGAGAAGTCTTCACCACATTTTAGCATGAATTTTTCATTAAAAGACCAACCAGGCGAATGTGGAAACTCAGAGAGTTTCCACCAATAAGAGTATGTAAGCAGAGGTTACGCACCCCCTACTCAAAATTCTGTAAAGGAAAACCAAGTGATCAAGGGAATTGATACTCAAATACCTTGGAGTTTCCAGCCTACTATTAAGTCTTTGAGTCAACAATAAACATTTTACACAGGTTTCTGTTGGTCTGTTGATCTGCTTATTACTCAGAATGTTATTTTTTCCAGCTAAAAAATAATTACACTGATGATCTGTTTAGAAATCACTGTTTACTTATCAACAGGCCCAAAAATTGGAGAGCAATGTTACCTGCAACCTGTCACTGGTATCAGCCTCACCTATAGTCTTGGATGAAGGTGTTCCATTTATCTGAGGCCCATACACTTTTTTTTTTTTTAATTTTTAAGATGATGCTTTGAAGATTTTACTTATTTATTTGAGAAGAAAGAGAGATAGAGAGAGCACATGAGGGGGTGGTAGCAGCAGAGGGAGAGGGAGAAGAAGGCTCCCCACTGAGCCAGGAGTCTGACATGGGGCTCAATCCCAGGACC